ATATATATATATATATATATATATATATGCATTCTTTTCTACCTTTACGTTTTTGGTAGGATCAAAAAAATACATATTCAATTTATTATAAACTTAACTGCTGTTTACTTCCTTTTTTTATTATTATTCTCTGAGAATATCAGAGAGTGTGAGAGAAAAAGAGAATTCGATATTTCTCTTATTTCTCTTTCTTGTTTTTTTTCTTTCCTTTCTAATATGAACATGGATGTCGTGAATATCAAATAATGAAAAAGAAAAGTGTGGTGTCAGCGTAACTAACGGGGGCTTGGGTTTACATTTCCCCATTCCTCTGTTAACAGAAAAAACAATAGTAAGTAATAACAGTAATAAGAATAAAGAATAAAGAAAGAAAAAAGAAAAATAATGTCTAGACTACTCCAACACTATAGTGCCTGCAAAACTGCCTTTTTCTGTTGTGATATTCAAGAAAAGTTGGAATCCCGTGTGGCGAACTTCGCCAATTGTATACATGTCTCCAACCGCTTTGCGGCTCTCCACACCGCACTGGGCGATCAACACAGTCTCTTCATCGTCACGGAACAGTACCCAAAAGGGGTTGGACCCACATCTAAACACATTCAACTCCCAGCAGATGCACATATTTATCCCAAAACCCAAAGTTCCATGTTATTACCAGAAGTATTACAACTCGTAGATGTACCGGAAGTGCGGCAAGTGATATTATGGGGAAATGAAACACATGTGTGTATTTTACAGACCGCGGCGGCTTTATTAGATATTGGGAAGAAAGTAGTGGTAGCGGTGGATGGATGTGGAAGTCAATGGGAGTTGGATCATATGACAGCTGTGCAGTTACTGCAGGCATGGACGCGGGATGGGTGTAGTGTCTCCACGTCGGAGTCTATTTTAATGCAGTTGATGAAAGATGCGGGGGATCCACTCTTTAAGAAGGTGGCGGCATTAATGAAGGATAAGCCCCCACTGCGTTAGTCCTCAACTAGTCCTATATATATATATGTATATAATATTTATATATAGTAATTAATATATATTAATATATTGTGCTTTTATTCTCTTTGTGATCAGTACGACAAAAAAATAAGGTTGATGTGTGTGTGTGTGTGTGTGTGGTTGTAATGAATAAAAGAGGGCACTTTATTTTGTTTGTTTGTTTTTTTGTTTCGGTTTCTATTTTTATTTACTCAATGCGAGCGTTTGCAGAATGTTGAATGGCTTCTGGTATTCTGTCTATCTGTTTTTTTTTTCTGGGTGTGTGCGGTGGGGGATTTATTTTTATTTACAGTATTCTCCTTCTAAATGAGGTGAAATTATGATTTTATAAAACGAAGAAACCCTCTTCTTCTTCTTTCTTGGATTCTCAGAGTCTTTATCTATTACTTCCGGAAGGAGTCTATATGTACATATGTATATAGTTATTTTAATGGATAGGAAATAGTATTGGATGTAATTATATTCTCTCTTCTCTCACTTATCTTTATTGTTTTTTTTTTCCTCACATCATTAGCTCTCACGTACAGGTACACTCATTCACTTAAACAATATACTTATAAATATAGATATAGATACATATAGATATCCATCAGAGAACTTGGGAATAAGATCCATTCTTGGCTGCTGCAGAGAAGAACAGCAAGAAGAAAAAAAAAACATCAAAAGGAATAGAAAAGAAGAATAAAGAGGATTAAACAGAAATATATATATATATATATATATATATATATATATTCTTACTGAATATATTTACTCTGAGGGATTATATGTTCTCACGTCTTATTGCCCCATTACGGACCACAACGTCCACACTTGTGGGAGTTGGCCACAGTGTGTTATTTCTCTCTTATCGACACGCAAGCCGTGAGGGAAAAAGAAAACAACAAATAAAAGAAAAAGTCCAATCGAAAGAATCCAAACATCGTTTGTCAACCGTAAAAAGTAAAGATTCATTTTGTACGGTTGAACCATCCATTTCATCACCAGTCATGCAGCCGCCGGTACCAAACACAATCAACGAGAAACAACAACAAGAAGAAATGAAAATAATGAAGAATAAGAAGGAAAGACCTGAAAAAACAACAGCAGCGGTCCATCATGATGAGAAGAAGAAAAAGAACAACAAAAAGAATACGAACCCAAACACCAGTGGAAAGGGAAGTCAGGAGAAGAATACGAATAAGAAGATGATGATGATAAAGAAGGAAGTAGAAGTGGAGTCATCCGTAAAGAAAAAGAAAGAAAATAAGAATGGGATGGCAATGGAGAAGGAAAAGAAGAATAAGAAGAAGGAAAAAGAAGGGACACAACAACAGGAGCCAGTATCATTGGTAAGAGAAGAACACATGGAGAGAGAAAAGATAAAGTTAACACCTTCCAATGATCTCCTACAGAAGAATGAGGAGAATGAGAATGAGAATGAGGAGGATGATGGTATTGTAGATGAGGAAAGTCAACAATTCATGAAATTACTGCAGGATGAGGCTCAAAAACGTCAGAAACAACAACGACGTGTATCTGAAGTGAGAGAAGAAAGTGGAGAGACAAGTGAAACGGCATATCTTGCGCAATTAGAAGGTACTGCAAATCCATCAAGAAAAGAAAAAGAAAAGGATATGAAGCCTCATACTACTACTAATAATAATAATAATAGTAATAGTAATAATAGTAATAATAGTAGTAAAGAAGATGTGGAGGAGGAGGATGGAGAGGAGTCTCTCAGTGCGGCGCAGCGCCGGGCGGTCACATTAGCGCGGGCCGGCCACAATCTCTTCATTACGGGCGGGGCGGGCACCGGCAAGTCGCGTCTCATTCGTGCGATTGTGCGGGAGTTGCGGGAAAACACCCGTCGAGTGGTGTTCGTCACGGCGACCACCGGCGTTGCGGCGCTGCATGTGCGTGGATCCACTATAAATAGTTTTGCCGGTGTGCGCTTTGGGGATCAGGCGGCGCGGGAGTTACTGCAGTGGGTGCGGCGGAATAGAAGAGCCGCGGGGCGTTGGCGGTACTGCGAGACGTTAATTATTGATGAGATCTCCATGATGGATCCCGCCCTGTTGGGCAAATTAGATGTGATTGCCCGATCCATTCGCCGTGGCCGCAGTGCGGAGGTGTTTGGTGGGATTCAAGTGATTCTCTGTGGGGATTTCATGCAACTCCCACCTATTCCCTCACGCCGTAGACATAATGGGGATCAGCGGAATGAAAATAAAGAAGAAGGAAACGAAGATGATGATAAAGGAGAAGAAGAAGAAGGAGAAAAAGGAGAGAAAAAGTTACGGTATTGTTTTGAGAGTGAGACTTGGAAAGCATTAAATCTCACACCAGTGGTATTACACGATAAGTTTAGACAAAATCAAGATATTTCTTTTCAACGGGTGTTGGATGATGTACGCCTCGGTGTACTCTCAAGAGAGAGTTATGAGATGTTACTATCCCGTACCTTTACACCCACGACGGGTGTAAAGTCTAGAAGGGATCGTTTAATATCTATCACAGATAATAATAATAATAATAATAGTGTGAGTGATGATATGATAATGGATGGAAAATCAAATGTAGAGAAGGAAAAGGATCAACATGTACGTTTGTGTGCCACTAACAAGGAAGTGGAGGCCCGTAATGCGAAACACTTTATTGCGTTAGAACCAAAAGGTTTAATGACACTTCCTACAGAGAAGAAAAAACCAATAATGGGAGAAAATGGTTTGTGTGAAGAGAATGAACGTCTGCTGCGGGCATGTATGGGAATAGATGAACCCGATAATAATAATAATAGTGATAATAATAATAATGGTGGAATGTCTGCATTTACACAAGAAGAAAAGGAAGTAGACACTCTTTATCCATTGCAAGTCTATCGCGCCTACGATACCCATGATAATGATGAAGATGTTCTTAATCATGAAAGTCTTCGTACATCTCTTCCCCCATCGTGGGTAAAGTTTGAGGATAGTACACTTCCAACAGAACTTTCACTAAAAGTAGGTACACGTGTGATGTTATTACAAAATGTTTCTTTACGTTTTGGTTTAGTAAATGGTTCTGTAGGTGAAGTGGTGGGTTTTTTACATCCACGTGAACTTATTGAACTTGTTTTGCGAGCCCCGCGTGAACATCATGTACCTTCTGCACGTGGATCTCTTTTACTTCAACGTGGTGGGTTTGCGACTATTAATGATGCCTTTCGTTGTGTAGATACGGCTTCTGGACAATCTCTCTTCTTCGCTCTTCGGCAGCGGGGATTACGATATAGAGAGTTGACCAACAACACCTACAGAGATGTCTATGGGAGAAGTCATGTACAGAATGTACGTCGTCTTGTAGGACTTGATCAAAAACAACCATCACAGGAAGAAAATGAAGAAGATGATAATGATAATGATAATAATAATAATATAGATGAAAATGAAAATGAAAGTGCATTCCGACGGATGCGACTTCCAGTGGTACGGTTAGATTTACAACCCCAACATCACACCCTACGTAGAAATCGCTATGATAATAATAATAATACTCATAATACTATTAATAATAATAATAGTAATAGTGGGAAAGGAGGGTTAGTGCGTCTTCCACGGCATGTGTATGCGTTTGTTTCTCCCATTTCTCACCAGTGGTATATGGGCGATACTGTTGTGGCCACCCGCACACAAATTCCACTGCGGCAGGCGTGGGCGATTACTGTACATAAAGCCCAAGGCCTCACCATCTCCCATATTGAGGTATCTATGCATCGTTTCTTCTCACCTGGTCAGGCCTATGTGGCCCTTAGTCGAAGTACGTGTTTGGAGAATATACGACTGATGAACTTTAAGCACAATAGTATTCGTGCGTGTCCAATTGCGAAACAGTTTCACGCAAGTTTGGAGGAAAAACAACAGGAAGAAGAGGAAGAAGAAGAAGA